AAAGAATATGGGTAAAGTACTCTCACGGCCCTTCCCTCCTGGCCGTAGTGGCTCCTGTGGGGGCCCTGCCCGTAGTGCAGGCTGCTCTAGGACTCAGCCCTGACTCTTCTCTTGTGCTTCCGATTACAGACTGCCATTGCTGGGAGCCTCCTCTTAGTGTGAGTCTAGGGATAGTTTCCATCATTTGTTGGCTTTCCTTAGCCATCATTCCTGTCTTTCCCACACTTTGAGTGAGCCATCTGTTTTCTGCCATGATGATGACTTGTTCATATATTCGTATCAGCAAGGCTTCTGAGAACAGAGCAGTCGGTTCTTGATCTGGATCCAACCGTTTCAGAATGTTGTGGGTTTCTGGTAGTCAGGCAGTCTTGGGCCCTCACCATTGGGCTTGCAATTCCTGCTGTGCTCTGGCTCTGTGTACTGCCCACGGCAGCTGCCAATGGCACGCTCGGCTTTTCTGCTCCAGTCTTTTCTTGCTTTGGACCAAGTGAGTGCTTTCTGTGTGTCATTTACTGTGATGAACTCTTTATGTATTTTACTACTCCTCCAGAATGAATGGTTTCTGCCTTTGTCCACATTTTACAAACAAGAAAAGTGATTTAAAAAAAAAAAAGTCGCCAAAGTTTACGTGTTTAGTAAAAGCAGAGATTCAGATCCTGATCTAAGTTGTGTCCTAGCTCATCCCCCTGGCTTAAATCTCAGAGATCGCAATAATTATACACCGTGTTTCTGTGTACATTGGTGCAGAAAACATCCCAGTTCTTCAAAACTTAGCTACTGGTCTGACCTCACAGAACCTGTGGTCCTCACCCATCTCCTCTTCCTGCCCATCCGGAGTTTGATCCTTGACTTAGTCAGAAAGATCTATCATAACAAAACACAAATGAGTGGCTTCAATTTGTCTCTCATTGTTCTGGGGGCCAGGAGTCCAAAATCAAGGTGTCCAAAATCATTTTGAGGCCTCTCCTCTTACAGGGATCGCTTCTATCTCTCTGTGCTCACAGAGTTCTTGTTGCACACATCGAGTAGCAGTAGGAGGGGGAGCAAGCTATTCTCCCCTCCACCCGCCCCATCCTTCCTTCTTATCTCCTCCATCTCTCATTCTCTTTTGGTGTTGGGGATCAACGCAGGGTTTGCATATGCTATGTAAATATTTTACTACTGCAGTATACTCTCAGCCTCTGATCTTAGGATACCAGTTCTATCAACTTAAGACACTGACTGCCCTTATAATATGTCACTTAGCCTCTCTCACCTGTAGTAGGTTCTGTCTCTAAATAGCCACATGGAAGTGAGAGTTTCTGTTGTATTTTAAAACCAGCGAGAAGGAGTCACACCATACAACAGGGCCCATGTGGGAGGTTTATTGAGGGAAGGGGAGAGGAGGGGCAGAGAAGGGGGCAGAAGCAGGTCCCTGGGGACGAGGGCAAAGGAAGAGAAAGAGACAGGAGGTGGGCAAGGCCCGCCTTTTATAAGGAAACATAGGGGAGTGTATGTTCTTAGTGGCTGCAGCTGAGGTATGTCCTGTCAAGACCCTAAGGGCAGGCCAGTACAGATGCCTAAATGCTAACAGTTTCAACACACAAAGATTAGGGGCACAATTTAGTCCATCACAATATCTTTGTTTTAGAAACTGAAGTTAGCATTAGTTCCTGATCCACTGTGATAGAGAACAAAAAGAGAAATCAGATCTTTTATGTTAGGGGGAAATTTCTCTCTTTTACAACATTTACAAGGAGATAAATATTCTCCACCTGGGAGATGACTCAGTAGATCAAAGAGCTCGCTGTGAGAGCGTTAACACCTCAGTTCATCTCCCCAGAGTCCATGGAAAAATGATATGATAGTTCATGCCAGTAATCCAAGCACGATGGAGAAGCAAAGACCAGAGACTCCAGCCTAGCTTCAGTGAGAGACCCTCTCTAGAGGGAATCAGGTGGAGAGGGATAGGGCAAGTGTGGTGGTTAAATGAACCTGGCCCCCAAAGGCTCACAAATTTGAACACACAGTCACCAGGGAGTAGCATGACTTGAGAGGGATTAGTAGAAGTGGCCTTGTTGGAGAAAGTGTGTCATGGGGGTGGGTGCTGGGGTGGGGGTATGAGGGCTTTGAGGTTCAAAAGGCCCATTCCAAGCCCAGAGTCTCTCTCTTCTTGCTGCCAGTGGATCTGGATGTACAACTCTTAGCTACTTCTCCAGCACACGTCTTCCCATGCACTGCCATGCTCCCCACCATGATGATAATAGACTAAACCTCTGAAACTGTAAACGAGTTCCAATTAAGTGCTTTCCTCCGTAAGAGTTACTGTGATCATGGTGTCTCTTCACAGCAATACTGACCAAGATGATTTCATCCTCTGGTCTCTTTCCGCACACATACATATACAGGCACCAACACAATAAAACCTTCCTAGGCACTTAAAATTAAGTTTTAGACAGAATGACAAGATTTGAAGATACCTCCTAAACTAAATTTAAACTGTACAGGGAGGACTTTGGCAGAGTATTTGTATTTAAAGCATCCCGTCCTAATGTCAGGTGGAAAAATACGAAATCACACTCCTAAGAAGCAGTTACTTAACTTATTTTTGAGACAGAGTCTTCTTGTGCAGTCCAGGTCCTTAGAGTCTTGGTCTTGTTATGTCAGTCTCCTGAGTGCTTGGATTACAGGTGTACACAACTTGCCTCCCCCCCTTTAGGTGTTGGGAATGGAAACTGAAGTATCATGCATGCTAGGTCAATACTCCACCACTGAGCCTACCTTACATTTAATATTCAATTTTGAATTTCCATGTAGTTTCTGAAGTAGTTTGCATATAGGGAAGAGATGGGTATGCATATAGGAAGAGAACTGCCAGCGGTTTATTTAAAAAACGATCAGTGATGCTTAAGGGAAAACGGGACTAGAGTGATGGCTCAGCAGTTACAAGCACCTCCTATTCTTGCAGAGGACCTGGATTCTGTTCCCAGCACCCACAGAGTGGCTCACAACTATCTGTAACTCCAGTTCCAGGGGGATCTGACACCTTCTTCTGACCACCATGGCCACCAGGCATGTACATGGTGCACAGAGTCGCACGCAGGCAAAAACACTCATACACATAAAATAAGATACATAAAATTTTGAGAAAGCTAGAAAGTAGTTAGTGAAGAGAGAGAGGTGGAAGACATGATTCATCCTTTGACAAGCTTTTCAATGATAAATCATATCATGAAAAATGGGCCCATATAAACAGTTCATATCTTTTTTTCTTTCCTCTCCTCTTCCTCATTTCTTAAAGTCCTTCTGGTTTATTTGTTTCTCCTTAGTCTTACCTCTGGAAAAGACAGATGTACCATCTGCAGTGGAGTGTGCTGGAGTTAGCTAGTTCTTACAGAAATGTTGATGCTTGAAAACAAAGAATCACTGGGATCTAAACATCTCGACATCTAGGTGTATGGATAATCTAATGGAGGGACCATAACTCTTTATAAGAGCACTTACCATTCTGTGTGGAAAGAGACAATTAGAGTGTTTTTACACATTTTTGTTTGTTTGCCTTTTTGAGATAGGTTCTCACTATGTAGCTCTGGCTGTCCGGGAACTCACTATGTAGACCAGGCTGGCCTTGAATTTATAGAGATCTGCCTGCCTCTGCTTCCTGGGTTCTGGGATTAAAGGTGTGCACCACCACACCTGGCTATTTTTACACTTTTTTTTTTCAAAAAAAAATTAAGAGAACATTGTTTAGAATGATTATATATTTATATATATGTGTGTGTATGTATGGGTATATGTTTAGTTATATGATATGTTAGCACAAATATGTCTCTTTTTCTTTATGAGATTACACACATACTAGAAAGAAGATCCAATATACTAGTAGTAATCCAAACTACTTGTGTTTTCCTCAATTTTCTGCACATGCATTTACTTTAATTAAGAAATTTAAATTACATTTATTAGTTCATTTGTATGTATGTGCTTGCACGTGTGCATGTAAGCGAATACACATGCCATCTGCATATGCCTCAACATGCAGGTAGACGTCAGAGGACAGCTTGCAGGAGCTGGTTGCCTCCTCCCAGTGTGTGGCTCTTGGAGAATGAACTCAGACCTTCAAGTTTAACCCACTGAACCACCTCCTCAGCTCTTAGGCACATTTTGAACAGAGAGAGTGATAGAAAGAGAGATGTGGAGAGCACTTCTGGGCAGAACAGTTAGGGCAGGGTGCGTGACTCCTTGGATATAGGATGCACCCTTTGCCCCGAGGCAGTGATGAGAGAACTAGTGGTTCAGCTATCTTAACCAGGCCCTAATCTGTTATCACTCCAACCTTCCAGGACAGAGGCCCATTTCTTAGACATTCTTGGTCTGTAGTTCCAGCACTGTGGGATGGTTTTCTCTAACTAGCTCCAATGACTCTTGCTGAGTCTAAGCCTGTTGTTTCTTGTTCCATCTAGAGGAAAGTGCAGAATCAAATAGTCTCCACGTTGTCTGTGAAAACTTTCTCTTGCCTTTACTAAGCACACTACTGTCCTCTGAGTTATAAACAGGTTAAAGAAAGAAGACAACAAAACAGGTATGACTTTAGACGAGTATCTTCAGAAAGTTTCTTATAGCCTCTGGATTTTCTTATTTTTAATCTCTTCATTTATTTTCTTAAGTAAAGGGCTACCTCAACACACAAATAGGAAACGGCACACCCATGAGCATTATGAAAGAGTTTCGTGAATGAGGGTCTCAAGTGGTCATACTGATGGGAACTTACCATTTGGTACCACAAATGCAATGGGCCTCTGTGCAGCCCACCCTACCTTGAAGCTTCCCCTCCTTGATTACACCTTATGACTCAACACTTCTTCAGAGAAGCACAGAAGCACCAGGTAAACCTCTTATGTGAGGAGTTTTCTCTTCCTCTTTCTTTTTTAATGAGTGGAGAGGAAGACTTTCAGCTCCTTTGTTGGCCTTTCTAGCTTCCTTGCCAAAATTGTGATGTTCTAAAGGTATTTCCCTGACAGAATTTCTTTGACAAGAAAACAGTTCTTGCCGGGCGGTGGTGGCGAACGCCTTTAATCCCAGCACTTGGGAGGCAGAGACAGGCGGATCTCTGTGAGTTCGAGGCCAGCCTGGACTACCAAGTGAGTTCCAGGAAAGGCGCAAAGCTACACAGAGAAACCCTGTCTCGAAAAACCAAAAAAAAAGAAAACAGTTCTTGCCATATTCCTTCCAGGAGGGCAGCATTATATAGAGGGAGGCCCCAAGCATGCTTCCTTCCATTCTGGACTGTGTGGCACATGAGCTTTGATTTGTGTGTTCAGAGAGCATCTCGGTGAAGCTTGTGTCCCACACAAAGCTGCTGTGACAAAAAATACAGCAGTGATGCTCTGTCCTCCGGATTAGTAAAAAGACCTCCTTCTCACACCAAAAGCTAGAAAGATAACCCATCCACCTGGACCAGCAGACTCTTTAATGGATCATCATATGTGTCCATAGTAGCCAAAACAT